CTACGGTTGGCCTCAGTACCCTCCTGTTGTAGTGGGGTGGGGAGGGGGCTGCATCTACGGTTGGCCTCAGTACCCTCCTGTTGGAGTGGGGTGGGGAGGGGGGTGCAGCTACGGTTGGCCTCAGTACCCTCCTGTTGGGGTGTGCAGTCATTGGGTTTTAGGAGAGTGAGAAAAGATCTTGTTGAGACATAGCAGATCCTCAACCATAACAGTCACCTTGGACTCAAAAAGTTAGGAGCAAGTGTGGGCCATCTGCCCCTCCTTGAACCTGCTCCGCCATTCAATAAGATCGCGGCTGATCTTCCTCATGGACTCAGCTGCAGTCACCATCACCCTTAATTCCTTTGCTATTCAATAATCTATCTTTGCCTTAAAAACGTTCAACGAGGTAGCCTCAGCTGCTTTAATGGGCAGGGAATTCCACAGATTCCCAACCCTTTGGGTGAAGATGTTCCCCCTCAACTCTGTCCTAAACCAGCTCCCCCCACCTTATTTTGAGGCTATGCCCCCTCGTTCTAGTATCACCTACCAGTGGGAACAACCTCCCTGCTTCTCTCTTATCTATTCCCTTCAATAATTTTATATTTTTCTATAAGATCCTCCCCCTCTTTTTCCTAAATCCCGATGAGTATAGTCCCAGTCTACTCAATCTCTCCTCATAATCCTCTCAACACAGTAACCAACCCAGTGAACCTCCTCTGTCCCCCCCTCCAGTGCCAGTCCATCCTTTCTCAAGTGAGGAGACCAAAACTGTACACAGTTACTCCAGCTCACCAGCACCCTGTAGAGCGGCAGCATAACCTCCCTGGTTTTAAACTTAGGCCCGAAACATCAGCTTTCCTGCTCCTCTGATGCTGCTTGGCCTGCTGTGTTCATCCAGCTCAACACCTTGTTATCTCTTAAACTGAATATTGCTCGAAGGATATGTTCTGAATTAACTGCAAACCAACTTTTTGTAATCTTTTGAACGGGTGGGGGAGGAGGATCGAGGGGGGGCTGAATGGCTTACGTTCGGGGAGTTGTCTGGTAGAGCACCTGCCTCCCGCGAGAAACCGCGTCTGCCTGTAACCTCTGACTTTGTTTCTGTCTCCTCCTCCTTATGCAACAGGTCTCTTTGTCACCAACGTCCTGGAAGAAGTGCGGGGCCAGGAGCTGGAGCTGTGCACCAACGCCTCAGTGAGCCCGGTCCTGGAGCGGCTCCTGGAGCATTGCGGCACCCTGGAGCTGCGCCGCTTCCTGGCGTCTGTGCGGCACTGCCGGGCACGGCTCGTCCGGCACTGCTGTGGTGCCCATGTCCTCCAGACGGCGCTGCTGCGGGCCGCTCGCCTCGGGAGGGAGCGGCTAGAGGAGGAGGGCGAGGAGGAGGGGAGCCTGGCATCCCTAATCCAGGAGCTGAGTGCTGAGGTGCGGGAGCACTTCCTGGAGTGCGCCCGGCACACCCACGCCAGCTTTGTGCTCCGCACCGTGCTGCAGGTGTTGGGGGGAGCCATCCCGGAGGCCGAAAGCACCAAGGGGAAGGCCCCGCGAGGTGAGTGCAGCCTGAGGGGGCACGGTATGCTGCCGATGCTCCTCTGGCCAGCTGGCACCACCCAAAAGACCGGGACCGTTGAGGCAAGCAGTGAGCGGGTTTTAAGCGAGCGCAGAGGCTGGCGGAACTGAGCAGACAGAGTCTGTATTTAACAGAGCACACCAGATAGAGACAGTCAGTATTCTGTATATAAATCATCCCGAACCCCTCGATTAGATTCCAGCCTGTAACATCCTCCCGGGGTATCTGTTAATCTGTATATATACCGCCCCGAACCCCTCCATTAGGTTCCAGTCTGTAACTCCCTCCCGGGGGGTATCTGTTGTTCTGTATATAAACCACCTCGAACCCCTCGATTAGATTCCAGTCTGTAACTCCCTCCCGGGGTATCTGTTATTCTGTATATAAACCATCCTGAACCCCTCGATCAGATTCCAGTCTGTAACTCCCTCCCGGGGTATCTGTTATTCTGTGTATTTGTGTGTCCCGCGCTGATGGGTGGTGATTCCTTTCAGGGCTGAAGTGTGGCACGCGTGTGGGAAAAGTGAAGGAGTTTGACGTTCCAGACGGATTCCTGGCGGAGCTCCGTGAGTTGGCGAAGCTGTTGGAGGTGAACGTGAAAGGTTAGGACTCCGGGCCGTTTACGCGATGTCTTCGAGGGAAGCAGCTG